GTTCCACAAGTCATCATCATCTACTTTTGCAGTCTCTCTAAACACGGTTGCATCCATATTTCCATTTGCATCTACAAATTGTACATCTTGCTTCATTGCACTCGGTTTGTTTTCTGTCACTAAACATATATGTTGTCAAGGCTAGAAGAACCTCAGGATTGATACAACAACAATAAAATGTAATGTCTCGATTATTTAGAGTTATGTATATGCATTTCCTTCAATATTTAATTAGACCGAGAGATTTCAAACGTTTATTTATATTTTCTATTAAAATCATTTTAGGTCACTTTCCAAATCGTAGCAAAACTATATGTCCCAATTATTTAAGATTGACTATATTGATTTTTTTTTTAACTATATGGAAACTCATATTATCAGCTAAATTGAGTCTTTGGCTCGTTATAGATAGATCTTAGTGAAGTGATTTTAAGTTTTCCTATGCATTGTATCTTTCTTCTTATAAAGAATAGTAATTTTTTCATATCTTCTAACAGCCACATTTATTAGGGCTCCTTAGCATATATGGATATCATCATAGACGAGCCTCTCTCATCTTGTTTATATCTAATTATTCACACCACCAATATTGGTTCTCTGTCAAAAAAATAAAAAAAGAGAAAAAATATTAGTTTTATTTTTTTTAGAATATGCTTATACTATGTTTGATGATTTTTTTTTTCTTTTTTTATCTGCTATTAAAATTATATCTATAAATAAAAATATGTATCAATTATTATTGAAAGAAAAATCACAAGAATAATAAGTTATAATGTCTCAATTATTTAAAATCGGTAGCGAACAATTTTTTTCCACTATTTAGTTTTTTTTAAGAAAAACATCTCATTTAACTAAATTATCTGATTTCTTATAATATGTTCATATTATATTATATGATTATTTTTCATTTTATCTATTATCAAATCCATGCGCAACTGTTCATAAATGAAAACATGTATAATTTCTATTCGGGCCCCACGCAGAAGACGAGGCAATGAGCAAACAAACTTGCCTGTGCTGGTCATCCTCTTGGCTTGACTTGCTTGGCCATGTGACATGGAAGTGTTGTGAGCAGCAAGGCAAGAGAGGTTGTTGAGAACATGAGGAGGCTATTAATTGCCTGTTGACTTCTAAGTAGCCAAGTCCTCCGTGGCTGCAGACAATCCATTCAATCTGCAAAAGCACTCGGAATCGGGATCTCCACAGAGAACAGGCAAATCAAGATTTGCTTTTGCTTTTGCTGTTGCCGAAGGAGCTTATGGTTCATTCAAGTTATAAGGTCAACGAAGAAAATAACAGCCTACTTTGATTCACGAGACTTCCATTAATGTAAGGAGGTTTTGAGACGATAAGTGTTGCATCAATTGAAGGTTCGATGTTACTACCATATTTGATATATAGGGATTTACTATTTTGGCCCTCCTCAATTCCATCTCTATGAAAGCTTTCCTAACCTTGATGTAAACAATTAAACAATTTATACGTTATGCATACGTAAGTTTAACTAATAGTCCTTGTAATATAGGGTAATTTTGAATTTGGTATCCGATCATTAATTCTTTCAATTGATATTTTATTATTCTTTAGTTTGTATACATTTGACTATAAATTGAAGTTCTTGCTTAATGTCCTTTCCATTGCTATAAATTAGCTACATACATATTAATACGAGCATGGATGTACCATTCGAAATGGTATGAAACATATGATACATATTAATCTACTAGCTGATTGTACCCACTATACTTATAATTTGATCGTTCCGATTGATATTAGTTAGTAGTAGTAAAAGCCAACCTAACCAACATTTAAATCAAATCAACTTTCGACAGTCAATTTAACTGTTGGGCTCTTATTTAGACCCTTAAATCTTTCTTAAATGATCAGTGGGTCCTATTTTGACCCTTTAAATCTTTCTCCTCTCCTCTGCTGCTCTTTCACTCTCTCACTCAATCCTATTCTCACTCGTTTAATCTTCATAATCGATTATTAGTAGAAATCGATCTCTTAACTTGAATAAAAACAAGGGTTAAAGCTTGAGTTTTAAAATTTCTCTTTAATTGAAGATATTTAGCTTCTTTCGATGTTTTAATTATTATTTCATATAGTTAAGGGGCATATTGATATATATTTTGGAAGACCGAGGGTGATAAAGGCTATATTCTATTTATTTATGACTTAACCTAAAAAAATTATTATTTATAACTTAGATGCACTTTATTCTCATCGAAGTATAACTTATGTGCGAAGAAATTAGGAAGGAACAAAAAAAATCCTAAAACTAAATCTTGGGTCATTTTTTTATTTTTTTTATACATCAATATATAATATCAATCGATACTAATGAATAATTTTATTATTTATAATAAAATAGTAAGACTTACGTGAATAATATCAAAAGGATATTGTGAATTATTAGGATGAGTATATGGATTCTTAACAGAAACTAATTACTTAAAAAGTAAAAAATTTGAGAGATATCATCAAAATTAAGAACTTGAGCTTATATTGGGTCAACTCGAAGAAATATTTTTTATATATTTTTTATTATTTACATATAGTGAATTATTTAGATTGTTCACTATATTTTTTTAGTGTTATTTCTTTCACCCTTTGTTATATGAACAGCCACTCGTACAAAATTAAGGAGGAGGGACTAAAGATGATAACGTGGGATAAAAATTCCCCAATAGGAAATTAATTAATTTTTTTCAAATTTTAATAATGTGTATGATTAATCATGATGGTAATTAATTAGAAAAAGATAAAGATGCATTTAGGTAAGAAATGCAATACCATGTAGCCTTTTGGCTGAAACTTCTATTTGAATCCTCACTTACACAACCAAAAAAATGAGTAAGCTTTTATAAACATATGAAAACATAAAATTCTAAATGTTTACGCAACCATAGTCTTTAGTGCCCTCTCATTCTTTTCCCATAACATGCCAAAAAAAATATCTTAAGTTTAAAAAAAAATTTTTTGCTTGTTAAGAATCCCTGAAACCTCCTATTGACAATGCAAGCTTCTTCTGCCTGTTTAAGTTGACTGGTTAAGACAATCATGGAAATGGAATTATTATTACACTCCTGAGAGTTAAAGTTTGGATATTGATTTTAGGAACACCCTCAATTATTTGTCAGAAAAACTATACTTATATTTGATTTTATGAGATGGATGGTTTGGAATACTTCTCTAAGCGGTGTTTCCAAAGGCATTAATTCTTCACTATTTTGAAGACCAAAAATCAATATAACACTCATTAAAAGACTCAAGCAAAGAAATCATAGTGACCTTTGTAGAGACTAGTAGGAAACTTCAAACATATTTTGGATTCTTGACTTATTGAGCTTTCCAATAATTTGTAATATATCTCATAAATGACTTAATATTCTGATTTTTAAGTAGATGTTTTGATTCTCATAAATAAACAACCTGCTAGATATCCCATGACAAATCATCTCTCCAAACAATTTTTTAATATTATTTGATTCAGATTTAATTTGTACAACAATCTCAACTTGCATTATTACCCATCTTATGTAAAACAATATTTTCATATAAAAGTTTTTTTAATATTTTTTATTACACGAGAGAATATTTATTTAAATATCTAATACAATAAATATGTTAAATTATTCAGGTTCATCTGTAGTACACATGAATGGACTAAATATAAATAAATTGATGAACTGGCCACTCGACGTAATCATTTAAGAGTAAAAAGCTCAATTCACTTACCCGTCCAATGACTGGAATAGACTGACTGGACCCACCAGGGACCCGCCACATCCTGACCGAGTAGTTGCGCAGTTGAATGATGCTTACTGAATACGTGGCTGCTCGCGAACGGTTGCGAAGCTCATTGCCCATGCTTTGGAGACCAGCCTATCTCAAAGAACGTGCAATGCCTACGGACAAAGCTTGCGCGCAATGGCCAATATCTTTCTCGTTGGGTAAGTCGTGCGTGGGTGAAGTCGGGGACGTAACTCAGCGGAATTATCCTGATTCTTGACTCATCATCGAAGACAATGCTAATTTTTTTCCACCGGATGAAAAATATAAAAATATACTACTGGTGTATTTTTTTAATAGCCTAAAGATAGCTGAGCGGGTAAGAAATGCCTTTATAGTAAAATAATAATAATAATTTTTGAGATTTTTCCGGTAAATTTTTAGAAATATTTTTTTTTTCTTTTCTTTTTTTTTTCTCAGAAAATAACATCTAGGGGAGGCGAGTATATAATCGAACGACGTCAGTGATATTGATGGCGATGATATCAGCCGAAAGCAACGTTAGCAATAAGATTAATTAAGAGCTTGAGGAAAAAAAGATTAAATCAATAATATTAGGTTATAATTAATATAGTAATATTTTATTATTTTTAAAAATTATCAATATAAAGTGATTGTCAATAATAAAAAAATGTGAATACTAAATTTTTAAAAATCTCGAAATTTTATTTTTGATTTAAAAAAAAAGAAACGGTGAATAATAAGCGTAAAAAAATCCCGGAAATCAACCACGAGAACGATCCCGGGTGATGTCGGGCCGAGGAGCCGAGGGACGCATCGCGTCACCGCGGAGGTGTATCTTGGGTGATTCAGTGGAGGAGGGGAGCTGGAAGCACGCTTCCACTGGGAGTCAACGCGGGTTGTTGGAGAGAGGCCAGGTCAAGTTTTGTTGGACTTTTTCCTCCGGAACTGACCGCGCTATGAGCCCGATTTGACTGCTGCCTCGAGTCCGGAACAGCCCGGAGTCCCCATCCAGCGACGTCCCCGAGGCCACGAGTTCAAATTCCATCAGTAGATCGTAGCTCCTTGTGTGTCGGTTAACGCACCGAACAGAATCAGATGGCTTCTAATTGGCAAACTGAGGTGGGCTCCAACAAGAGATATTGCGATCCATCAGTGTCTACGAATGCCGATGATCATTTTTGTCTCTACGACGGGTGTGCTTTAATAGATTTTGTTAAGAGCGCGTTCTATTACAAGCGCGGTAGAAGATTAAAGAGACGGGGAGAGGAGTTCAGTTAAATTCTCGTTCCCCGAATTTCGCTTTTATTTCATTCCACGAGCGTTTCATATCGTCTCGATTTCCAAGCTACTTCTCACCTCTCTCCCTTCCCTCTGCGAGTCCGATCTCGGTCGATGGAGGTCTGGTTGCGGGGTCGCCCGGACTTCGAGGTGCCCTTCGCCGCCTCCTGGCTCTGCTCATCCGACAGGTGAAGATTCGGTGGGGGTTTGGACTGATCCTCGGCCGTTTGGTGGTGAACTCGATCCATTCTTTGCTGCTCGCTCTACATCAGCTAAAGGAACTGGTGGGCTCTTCGGTTTTTTGGATCTTTATTGATAGTCATTTATCCATCTCGTTGTGTTTTGTGTGTTTGTCGATAGGAATCTTGGGAATATTTTACTGATTTCTTCTGATTTTTCGGCGTTTTCCATACTTAATCCGCTTAATCTTGCTTGCAGCAAGAGAAAAGATTGAATCTTGTTCTACAAATCTCTCGCAGGCCGATCTCCGGCGAACCGAAGCATGTGTGGCGGCCCCGAGCGCATAAGGCCTTAGTCGTTACCAACCTCGCGAGAAGAGAAGCCCAAGAACCCTAACTGTATCGGTGGTGGCTCCGCCGCCGAAAGCGATGAACCACCTTGCCGTAGAGCCCGACGACTCGTTCTCGAACCTCCTCGAGCTCGCGGCGAATAACGATGTCGACGCCTTCAGGCGATCGCTCGACCGCGACCCGTCCGCCATCGACGAGTTCGGCCTTTGGTACGGGCGCGAGAAGGGCTCCAACCGGATGGTCCTCGAGCGCCGCACCCCGCTTATGGTCGCCGCCACCTATGGCAGCCTCGACGTCCTCGGGTTACTCCTCTCGTTGACTTCTTCAGTCGACATCAACCGTGCGGCTGCGCTCGACGGCACCACGGCCTTGCACTGCGCTGCCTCAGGCGGATCTCCGAGCGCTGCCGACGCCGTGAAGTTGGTGCTTTCTGCCGGTGCCAACCCCAACTCTGTCGACGCCAACGGCCACCGGCCTGCTGACGTAGTCGTCGTGCCTCCGAAGTTGCCTGATGTGAGGACTGCGCTGGAACAACTCCTGGGGAGGAGCTCTAATGGTACAGTTGAAGATCACCAGCATTGTGCTCTTCGCGTGACAACGCGACTGTCGAGCTCGGATTCGCCGCCCCTGTCTTCCTATCCTGATGCGAACGGATCCCCATTCTCCCGTTCCGCTTCCTCTCCTGTGATGACTGCAAAGGCCCAAGAAATCCAGCCACCTGCTTTTCCGGAGAAGAAAGAGTACCCTGTGGATCCGTCGCTTCCGGACATCAAGAACAGCATCTACGCGACTGATGAGTTCCGGATGTACTCGTTCAAGGTGCGGCCATGTTCGAGGGCGTACTCCCATGACTGGACCGAGTGCCCCTTCGTCCATCCCGGCGAGAACGCTCGCCGGCGTGACCCAAGGAAGTATCACTACAGCTGCGTCCCGTGCCCTGACTTCCGGAAGGGTGCGTGCACGAGGGGCGACATGTGTGAGTATGCGCATGGGGTGTTTGAGTGTTGGCTTCACCCAGCGCAGTACCGCACGAGGCTCTGCAAGGACGGCACTAACTGCTCTCGCCGTGTCTGTTTCTTCGCCCATACTCGCGAAGAGCTCCGGCCTCTCTACGTGTCCACCGGCTCTGCTGTGCCATCTCCTCTGTCGTCGTGCTCCGCTGCGATGGAGGCGGTTGCTGCCATGGGCCTCATGCCTGGGTCGCCATCTTCGGTCTCCACCGCAATGCCTCCCTTCACGCAACCCGTGTCCCAGTCTGCCAACGGTGTCAGCCACTCTTCATTGGCATGGGCTCAGCCCAACGTGCCTGTGTTGCATCTTCCCGGGAGCAATCTCCAGGCGAGCAGACTGCGCTCGTCTCTCAGCGCAAGAGACATGCCTTCGGATGATTTTTCTGTGATGCATGAATGCGATGCTCAGCAGCTGATAGATGATCTATGCTACACTCGTCTGAGCTCTTCTCTGGGGAGTCGGATGGCACCGTCGAAGACCCTTGCTCCGTCAAACCTTGATGATCTCTTCTCAGCTGAATTTGCCTCGTCTCCAAAATATAAATCTGACGAAGGGCCCTTTTTTTCTCCATCTCACAAGGCTGCTATTCTCGGTCAGTTTCAGCAGCAGCAGAGCCTGCTCTCGCCGATTAACACAGTGTTCTCGCCCAAAGCCACTGAAGGCCACCAGCTATCTCGTCGCTCAGCTCTGTTGCAGGCCTCACTTGGCCTTTCTTCGCCTGGCAGGATGTCCCCTAGAAGCATGGAACCCATCTCTCCCTTGAATTCTCATTCGAGTTTGTATGCTCACTGGGAGAAACAGCTGCAGACACCACGGAGCATGAGCTCTCGTGATCTTGGTTCTGGAACATCCTTGGTTGTAAGTTCTCCTGTTAATGCATCATGGTCAAACTGGGTGTCGTCGCCCTCTGGGACATTTGACTGGGGAGTGAATGGCGACGAGCTTGGTCTTCACAAGCAATGGCCGTTCTTTGAGCTGCAGGATAATGGTGAGGAACCTGATCTATCATGGGTCCACTCTTTGGTGAGAGAATCCCCACCTGAGAAAATAGGCACTGTGTCTGTATTGCTGCCTGGTCCTTCTAGATTGCAGCCTGCTAATGGAGTTGAGGGTTCCAATTCAGATAGTCAGCCTGACAGCCTTGATGAAGCTGCAGTCGTTGGTGCCTTTGAGCAGATGCAGCTTGATCAAATGGTACCCTAGCAAGTGTCAATTTTTTGCTGAACTGCTGGTATTTGGTAGTGGCTGATGACCTAAGTAAATAATATTTTTTGGTTTATTGAAAAGGTGAATTAGGTGAAAGAAGCTGAAGGTTTAATTTTTAGAGATTTATTTTATTTTGAAACAAGTTTATTATTACTTTACGTTGTTTAGAAAAGACCAAAAATATTGAAGGGACCTCATCGTTGGGTTATTTCAATTCTGCCCAGGTTGACTTCTTGTCTATTTCAATTTTCTTTACTCTTTTTCCCCATTGGTTCTTAATTTCTAAACCCAAGTCTTTTATGTTTCATGGCCATGAAACTTGTGTAGCTCCTATCTGCTTCTTTTTGGGGTCAAATTTCTCATTTCTTTGTCATAATGCTGTTTGTCTTGGTGATATGGTGTTGAGTCAAGATTAGACTCTCTTAGGGTTTCATATGTTATGGATTTGACTAAATCTTTTGTTTCTGGGAGAAGAAAACAAATGGGATGTGTAATCAAGTGCCGAAAAAGGGACTGGATAACCATGGTTGTTCTGGTGGATCCAATTGTAGAAAAGAAATGTTGCACAAGATTCTGTGTCTGATGTAATCTCTAGTTGAACTAAAATGCTATTATTCAATTCAATTATATTCTGTTGTTCTGTTCATGTTTTGTTGCACACTATTTGGAGGTTGCCTTCATGCACGTATATATAATGTCTTGATTGCTTGCTTTGGAGGCACTCTTATGTGCTTTTTATGCCAGAGTCTTGATCCTTGATTTCTGAGCTAATATTGTAAATACTGGGTCTATCCTAATACTTGGAATGAGAAGCTTTCCTGGTTAAACTTTACCAAATTCTTCTTTTATTTTGTTATCTTTGGAAGCTTGTAGGGTAGGCTATGGCATTCAAACCTGTGTCAGGATTTCTTGTATTATTGTGAAGCTTCTTGGAATTAATTGTTTAATGAACATGACCATGTGAGGCCCCTGAAGCAAGACTTTTTTAGCCATCTATCACATGGCCCTCCACACTCATATGATAACCTCTGTTGAATGTTCTGGATTCCCTTCCAAGTCATATGATATCGTAATATATTGTGTTGTTATCCCAATGCAGGAAAAACATAATCATATCATGATCTGCCTTGGCTTCTCTTTAGACTTGTTGTTTTTGCTTTTCCATACTACTTAGAGGAGTGGCGCAAGCATGGCTGTTGTCTGGATGCCAAATTCTTGTCAACATCATAATTAAGATGCATCCAGTCTGATACTGAGTAGCTTGTTCATTGTCTTATGTGATAATTTAATGGTGTTTAAAATAGTTATGCCACACTGTGGTTGAACATGGAAGGAATCCATTAATTAAGATGGAGACTACAGTTAAATTCTCACATTATTGTCGATGAATTGAAAGCTTTGCTTAGATAGGTTGTCCTGCACTTGAGCTGGAGAATACAGTGAAGTTCTTAACATTCAGTAGTTTGCTTTTTTGTCAGAAATTTCTTCACCATCTGGTGGTATTGGATCAGTACCCTCAAATGATTGGACTGAAAGCTTGCTCCAGTATTGTGTAAGCTTTATAGGGCGCATCTCATTCCTCAAGATGAAATCCCCCGGGTGTCACTGGTTGAACTGTTGCATGATTTCATATCTCCATGCGACATCAGAATTTGTTCTGTGATTTTTGTCGCTATGCTATGTGAATCTGAGCCTACTTGTCAATGGATCGAAAGCTTTGCTTAGATAAGTGACTCTGTGCAGTTGTTTTCAGTATCTGCAAGGCTTGACATGAAAGCTTGCTTTTTTGAGACCTACGTCTTCCATATCTGCTGGTGATGGATCAGTAGGTCTCGGACTCTTTATGAATTGAATCGAAAGCGTGCTTCTGATCTGATCTGAGAATAGTGTCGGGTGAATTTTATAGGTTGCAAACCCTAGTTTTTGGGGCATCTCATGTCTCGCAGGATGGAATCCTTCTCTGAGCGATCTGAGATAACTGCATGTGGCATCAGAATTTGTCCTGTGACTTCGTCACTGCGCTATGTGAATCTGACCTATTTCAAAGCTCCAAACCACAGAGATTAGATGCCCTGATCCACCACAGATCCAATAATCATTTTCTTGTATTATTAAATCTTACTATATAGGTTTTTTATTGAAAACTTTTCTTTAGACAAAAGCCAAGCTGATATATTCTCTTCAACTTTTGGGCAAATTTTGATTGGATTCCTAAACTTCAAATTTTCTGACTTGATTAATATTTCAATCAACTCCTTTACCAGCCAGCATGGTTACAGAAATATTTGATTTCTAAACCTTTGCTATTCAGGTCTAAGTGAAGCTCTTTTTTTTTTTTTTTTTGAATCATAACAATCACATAATTTTTCTTATTCACACATTCATGATAGTTATCGATAGACAATAATCAATAAAAACTAATCATAAAATCTGATTAAAATGTTTATTGAACTTTAAGAAGTCAACAAGGATTAAAAATTGCCCAAGACTTCAATGACCAAAGAAAAGAAAGGGCTAATTCTCTGCCATTTAAAGTATTTAAGAAGAATTATATATATAATTGTTATTGATCAAATACAATTTTTTTTTTACATTTACAAAATTACGAATAAAATTATGCTAATAAAAAGGGGATTTTTTTATATGTATTTTACTCTTTTTTTATTTTGTCTTTCATCCTATACAGATCCTGCCTTCACATTTATTGTCCTAAATCAGATATCTTGTACACGCCACAAACGAAAAGTGAACACCAAATATATGGATGTCAGCACAAAGCAAAAGATAAAAAAGAAAGAACATAATTTTAATGCAGAAAAAGAGATCCATTTTGTGATATAACCCATAAAATTTACTTCTTAGAGTGTACAGGTAGCAACTACAGCTGTGCAGTATGATCTTTCCACACTTCTACAATGGATGTGGACAAAAAGAGAAGCATTTGGATTACGACCTGTTACTTTTTTGCCTGTGCATGGTTCAACAGTGTTTGATATGACTTATGAGACTGTCCAAGTTCAGATGGAATGGGCAGCTCGTCCGCTCTTGGAGTGTACTTAATGCCGCTCTTGGAGTGTACTTAATGCTGTCATTGTTGATGATACATCAGTATCACTGGCAGTAGCTCGAGAAAAGTCCATGTGAGACGTGTCATCCCTCATCCATATAGTTGGCCTGGCGAGCAGTAGAAAGTGTCAGAAAGAATAAACGTCGAAGGAGGATATTAAATTTGTCTTCTATCCAAATTCAAATTTACTTATATATATAGTTTTATATAAATTTCGAAGAATTACTCTCATTTCTTCTTTTTCATCCATCTAGAAGAAATTCAGTAGTAATTAAAGTATTTTCTTACATTCTTTCTGATTAAAATCTAATTTTCATAATTCCTTTTCACCATAAAAGAATATTTTCATAATTAAATTTCTTATCTTCGAAGGCAGATCTAGAAATCCAAAAATATATAGACATCAACGGTAAATTGGATCATATAACAAGTTTGGATCATCTACTGCCTTGATAAACCTACATGCATGCATCTCACAGTCTCATGAGGACTCTAGGTTTTTCTCTTCCTCAGCTTGTTCCTAGTGTTCTTGTGAATAGTTCTATAACTAGAAGTATTGGCTTTGTTTGGAGAGTCTTGAGATCCAAATGTGCTGCGAAGTGTGTTCCACGCCTAGTGCCAGGTTCTCATGGTGTGGAATCAATTCATTCGTTTGAGAGTGATAAGATGTATTTTGGGCTCAAGATACGTCACAGTTGATGCTACACGTCAAGTCAGAATTTGTATCAAGACGCTGTTCAACATGTCCCATCCCGAGAGCTCGGGGCGATGCCGTCTGACATCGCTCCGCACGTCCCGAGATGACGGCCAGTCAGAATTGTCATCCCATCCCTCGAGGATCAGCGGCCACATTGAACTCGTGTGCAACCGACCCTTGTACAATAGTATAAAAACCCCTGTTCGGCATCCGGCCAGGGGGAGGCAAAAAACAATTCCACCCACTGACTTGCTCGTCGGAGGAGCCAAAGTTAGGAATCACCCGAGGAAGGCCATTTTTGCAGGAAAGCGGCCGCCCACGACCCGCGAGCATCTCAACCTGGGAATCGCCATCCAGTGTTCGAAGATGAGCTACCAACCACTCCAGAGATGAAGAGACGTGGCTCAGCATAAACGGTGCTCGGATCGGAAGATCGAGAAACGCTGATCAACACCCCGTCGCAAGGGCCTAATCGACCTCGGCATCCAGCTCAACCGACAGAAGACTCCCGACATCGATTCGTGGACCAGGCCGTGCTGACTCGTCGGTCGCGACACATTTGTTCACCAACATTTTGGAGCTAGAAGGAGGGCATGTCGCAGGAGCATCTCGCAGGAGCTCTCCTCGAGGGAGAACCATCGACCGGTCACCCCTTCGTCGAGCTCGGAGATTAGTCCCTCCCTGTCCCCGGAGATGGGGGGATCCCGGCCTCGACGCCAGATCGCTATTGGCGCCTATTCAACGACCTGGGGTTGTCGCCCCTCGGACTTACCATAGGATCCTTGGCCGTGTCGCTCGAGGCGTTCCTCAGCCTGATTAACCAAGTACAAGCGATGGCGGGGATAATGCAATAGTACAAATATTGCATGTATCATTGCAAATCATAAATGTTTCATATCATGATGGTATTAATTTATCAAATTGTATCCTACCATGCATGATCATAACTTCACATTTGCATGCATCAAAATAATATCAAGAGTATTTCATGCATAATTTTATATCATTTCATCTCATCAAGAGAAATTAATTGGGTGATGAATACGAGTTATACAAAGACAGAAAATCATGTCATGAAAGATGAGATCATGTGAAAACCAAAAGATATTATTCATTTTGACACATCTCCTCTTAAATAAATAACATAAAGAATTCTTAGGAGATCATAAAAAATCTTGATTGATATAAAAGATTTCATGTAATAAATCTCGAGAAATCAATATCATGATTTCGATAAAACCCATTAAATTCAAACCATCAAAATCAATTTCATGGTTTAAGAGATTCATAAAGATGATATAAATAGATTCATTAGTCTCTTTTTTGAAAAAATCGATAAAGTCAGAAAAAATAAATTTTTTAAGGAGAAACCTTTTCACTTTTTAGTTGTTTTAATTCATGTGATTTATTTCATTTTTACCAAATATAAATGTGCATAAACATTTAGGATCGAAAAATGAATTTCATCCTAAAAACCATCAAGACCAATAAATCATAAAAATCATCATGTATAACTTTAAAATCTCATGCATAAAATCGTCAATCATGGTATCAAAATATTTAATATTTTCATTACATCATTATGCATTACTTTAAATCAAACATGATTTCATTTAATCAAAATCGAGAAACAACAATGGAAATCAACATGATACACATTATTACTTCTTAACCACATATAGCATGATTTCATAAGGCATTTTTAATCAAGTTCATTGTAGTCATGTATTTTTCTTTCTAGATGAATCTAACTTTTCATGCTTAGTTTCAGTACAAAAAGCCATGCATCATTTTTAAAACTGGAAGGCAATATGAAAATCATTAAGATATACATTATTGCTTCTCAAGCGCATACATAGAATTAATCATATTTGTTGTGC